GTCAGTGCAGCCTTAGATAAGGCACATAATTAAAGCATCTTCTCAGTTGCACAGTGACACCCACCTCGGAGAGTTTCTGTGTCTCTTAAATGATCAAATCCATGTAGAAGACTTATTATCACAATCTGTAGTCACTTGGTAAACGGCAGATCTTATTTTGACTTTCTGCTAACGGAGTTTCCACGTTCCTTAGCCTACCAAGGTTCTTTCCTGAACAGCTGATGGCATTAGGATTTAATTAAGTGAAGCTTGGAGTGCTGGCTTTGTGTAAGAAGGAAGATGCAGCTGTATCAGTGAGGAATGTTTTCTGTCACAACAGACAATCTATCAGTTGCTTTAAATAAGTAGGGATCGTTAAAAAAAAAAAAAAGCTGCAATATATTATCTGGGGGTAGATGATCCTGGTGTTAGTTAAAGCTCTCAGTGATGTCTGTGCTGGAACTTCTGGGTTCCTGTTGGACTTTTCCTCCCCAACTTCCCCAAGTAAGTCAGGAACAAACAGGAGAAAGGACAATACCAACCACACCTATTCTTTTTTTTTTTTTTTTTCTTTTAAGACAGTCTCTCTCTCTCTCTCACTCAGGCCTGGTATGCAACGGTGTGATCTTGGCTAACTGCAACCTCCGCCTTCCGAGTTCAAGTGATTCTCCTTCCTCAGCCTCCTGAGTAGCTGGGATTATAGGCGTGCGCCACCACACCTGGCTTATTTTTGTATTTTTAGTAGAGACAGGGTTTCACCATGTTGGCCGGGCTGGTCTCAAACTCCTGACCTCAGGTGATCCCCCCACCTCTGCCTCCCAAAGTGCTAGGATTGCAGGCATGAGCCACCACACCTGGTCACACCTATTCTTTATATCAGGGAAATATAAGCTTTCACAGAAGCTTCTGTTTATGACTCATGTGCTAAACCAGTGTCACCTGACCATGCTGACCTGCAAGTAGGTCATCTGAGTCTGTTATTTTTCCAGCCTCTGCTGTGAATGTGGTATGGAAGGAGGCAGATGGCTGGATCAGTCACCAGCCATTTGTCCTACCAGAATTTAAAACTTTTCTCTGAATTATAAAGTGGAGTTGTGGCATATGTGTTGAGATTATGAATAAATTCATCTTGAAGGAAAAAAAGCATTCATGCAGTCTTGTGTAAAACTATTAAAGTAAGTGACCTCTTGTCACCCTGTCCCAAAGAGTAGAATCTGTCAGCAATTTATAAGCCCCTTAAAAGTTTCCACTTCAGTTCCTGTTCCTCTTTCTTTCCTAGCCTTCCCTTTTACTGAAAGAATTGATGATTTCCTGAAGAATTCAGTTCAAAACTACTGGGCAGGGCTGAGCATGGTTGGCACGTGTGGGTTGGAGAGGCGGGGAGAGAGGTGACTCACTGCCCTGTGGGATGAAGAAGGGGTGTCCTCCCGGAGAGGCAGCCTGTGGAGGGGAGTAAGCCCTCTTGCTGGAGGGAAGCCCCCTGCTGGGCTGGGCAGGGCTTTGCTGCACCAGGAATGAAAGCCTGACCCAGTGTGGAACTTGGGGTGTGAGGAGGCGGGGCAAGGTACAGGGATAGGCAGTAACCACTCCCAGCACCTCACTATACAAAGCAAAAAAAAAAGAAAAAAAAAATTCTTCTTTTCACCTACCTCATTTGTTAGACGGATACAAATAAACAGTGATATGTATACAAATATATACCTACAATCCCTCACCTTCCCACTGCCACTCTAATAAATCATTTTCCTTTGTTTCTTATTTTCATGGATCCCAGCCCTTTTTGTATTTATTTAATAATAAAAATGTAATGTTACATTCTACCTTTTTGTCATCCTCTGAATGCTAACTGATTCCTTTTTCTTTATTCTATTTATTTCTGAAACGGGGTCTCTCTCTGTCTCTGTCACCCAGGCTGGAATGCCAGTGGAGTGATCTTGACTCACTACAGCCTCTACCTCCTGAGCTCAAGTGAGCCCCCCCACTTCAGCCTCCCAAGTAGCTGGGACTACAGGCATGCACCCAGCTAATTTTTTTTTTTTTAATTTTTTTGTAGAGAAGAGGGTCTCACTATGTTGTCCAGGCAGTTCTCAAACTCCTGGGCTCAAGTGGTCCTCTCACCTTTGCTTCCCAAAGTGCTGGGATTATAGGCATGAGTTGTGCCTGGCTTAAGATTGATCCTTAAGGGGGATCCTTGGGTAGCTAGGACAGTTACCCTCAGGCTTGTCCATTCCACTCTCCTGCTCTTTCAGATGCAGGCTGAACAGGCTACTTTATCTAAAGGACATTTATTAAAATGGGAGAAGGGGAACCTAACTGCCTCTAGATCTCTCTGTGTTTTGTGAGTTGAATGGTTAAAACTTGATCTATTACATGATCTAGTGCCTTTACTTATTTGGCATTTATTTATGCCAGATGAATAGATATATTCATGCCTCGTTACTAGTAAAGCAAAAATGCTTCCTTCAGATTGCACGTCTGTGCCTGTCTACTCAGCCCACCACTGTAGGTTTGGGTATGTATTGTTTATCAAGTGGCCCTTTTATGAATTGAACAATGAATTGGACAGAACTAAAGCCTCTAATGGGAGTGTAAGCAGTTGATGTTCATATAAAATCTTTTAATACTTTTGTCATTTCCTCTAACGTATGGATTTACAAAAGCCTGCGGGGACTTGGTATTTGTTGAAGATAGAAATTTGCATAAGCATTCAGTAACAAAACAATATGTGATTTATTTTGTGAAATCCATTTTAAATACAATTAAAATACTTTTTAAAAAACTACATCTGAGATTCTACCCCAAAACCCCTCTTACTTCCTGTGACATATACACATTTTATTTTCTGACTTTATTATACTTGTGACAAACTGTTTGCCCTTAGTTTTTAGAATATTTGCTGTACGATTTTTTTATGCTGACAATCACTTGAATGTGAGTTAGCTTTTCCATTGCAAATACATTTCAAGGCTTATAGTCTCTTAAACTCTTTGTTATGTGAGGCTGTTTTTCCTCCTCTTAAGCTGATGTATTTAATGGGAAAAAAAATCTTGTTTGGAAGAATCAAGTTATAGTTACGTTTAATTTGTTCCAGTGGCAAACTGTGCATGTGTGTTCCCAGTCGTTATGAGCCATTTACTAACTTGGTGTCTTTTATTTTCTTGCTTATACAAAATACCTCTTGAAGTCTGAGCCTTTGTACCTCTTTTTACTTTTAAGAATTCCTCCTGTAGTTCTGAAACAGAACATTACTTTCTTTTTTTTTTTTTTTTTTTTTTTAATTTAGACAGAGTCTACTTCACTCTGTCACCCAGGCTGGAGTGCAGTGGCAGGATCTTGGCTCACTTCAACCTCTGCCTCCCAGGTTCAAGTGATTCTGCTGCCTCAGTCTCTCAAGTAGCTGAGATTACAGACACATGCCACCATGCCTGGATACTATTTTTATTTTTAGTAGAGACGGGGTTTTGCCATGTTGGCCGGGCTGGTCTCAAACTCCTGACCTCAAGTGATCTGCCTGCCTAGGCTTCTCAAAGTGTTGGGATTACAGGCGTGAGCCACCATGCCCAGTCAGAGCAATACTCCTGTTTTTAATGAATTAGGTTTACCATTGACAGTGCTTTCTGATTTGGGTTCTTGACTTAAGCATGAATAGTAAGAGGCTCTGGTCACAACTGCATCGATGGCATGCAGAAAACCAAGTGAGGCCACAAGATGCACCCCTTTCCCAGAGTCTTTTCAGAGAGTTGGATCTGATGGGTGAGTGCATTAGGCGGGGTTCTCTAGAGGGACAGAACTAATAGGATAGATGTATATACAAAGGGGAGTTGCTTAAGGAGTATTGACTCAGGATCACAAGGTGAGGTCCCACAATAGGCCATCTGCAAGCTGAGGAGCAACGAAGCCAGTTCAGGTCCCAAAATTGAAGAACTTGGAGTCTGATGTTCAAAGGCAGGAAGCATCCAGCATGGGAGAAAGATATAGGCCAGAAGATTCAACCAGTCTAGTCTTTCCACGTTCTTCTACCTGCTGTTATTCTGGCCACACTGGCAGCTGATTAGATGGTACCCCCCCAGATTGAAGGTGGGCCTTTTCAGGGTACAAGATGCCACTCTTCCTTGTCCTATTCACTGTGCTCAGCAATCACATCCTCCTGCCTTTGATTTTGTGGCAGTTTCCTGGGACTTAAGTCTTTGCTCACTCTATGAAGAAACAGGGAAGTACAGTTTTCCCTCCTGCACTTACCTTTTTATATTGCTTCCTCCATTTCCTAAGGTTAGGGGAGAGTCCAGTTTATTCCTTTCACTTGAACAAATGTAATTATAGCTGCTGGCTATAAGCTCAGAACTATTAGTGATTTCTGTTAGTTCTCACCCTCAGTAGTGCAGTCCATCATATATGGTGGAAGGTTGCTGGAGGCAGAGGGTGGGCCAAAGGCAAGCAGAATGGAATCACATTCCCTTTGAAGGGGCGGTGAGCTGGTGAGTTATCCAAGATCCAAGACAGATTGCCAGACAATCTCCACAGTTTCATAGGTAAAGAAAGCAGACTATTTGGAATCTTTTGACTATATTTTATGGCTGAGTATCCTCTGTCATCATCCTTTCATCCACATACATGTGTGGGCGAACAACATCTATTCTTACCATTTTTTCAGTTTTGAAGCAGCTTGAGGTTGTGTTTAGCTCTTTCAGGTAACCATTCACCAGAGCCTCTCACCTCACAGATGTTTATCTCAGTTGTTTCTGCAAAGATGCTCAGATTCAAAACAGAAATTTGAGGAGTGTCCTATTCATTTTAATGCTTCATCCAATAACACTGAAGCCATGGCTAGCTGGAAGCCCCGTATCCTCTTAGTTCACCTTCTAGAAGATAATTCATCTACACCAGTTCTACAAGCATGCTTTATTAATACAGTGGAGATTTCTCCAGCACAGAATCTTAGAGCTGGTGTGGGTTTGCCATTGTGTCCTGGTGTATGTGCTATCAGTGTAGGCTGTGTTCTGATGTCCTCTTTGATTTCACAGGAACTGACAATGGCGAAGCCCTTCCTGAGTCCATCCCATCAGCTCCTGGGACACTGCCTCATTTCATAGAGGAGCCAGATGACGCTTATATTATCAAGAGCAACCCTATTGCACTCAGGTGCAAAGCGAGGCCAGCCATGCAGATATTCTTCAAATGCAATGGCGAGTGGGTCCATCAGAACGAGCATGTCTCTGAAGAGAGTCTGGACGAGAGCTCAGGTAGGAACGTGCAGCAGTCAGAAGCAGCCATGGTGACTCTTCGGGTTCTCCTGTGGTTATGTATCTGGGAAAGACTGGAAATCACCACCCGCCCCACCATCACCTCTTGTGAATGAGGCCATAGTTACATCACTCCCGGCGTATAAGATAAAATCATTTTCTTCAAATGACCCCACAGCTGCCTTGGTAGTCTCTTCTAATATGATGCAGAGGCATTTTTTTTCTTGCTGTATATAACTTTAAACACCAAATTTTGGTGTTTAAAAATTTGGAAGTTAATGGAAGTTAATATCACTAGAAATAAAACCAGGAAGTCACTGTTTTTGTTTGCAGAATTCTGAATATTTTTTAGGACAAATATTAAATCTTGCATCAAACCCCTTGGTAAGCAGCATGATTTGAGTTTCTTTAATCTTTCCTAGATTTTATTCTTTGCACTTTATTCTCCACAGTTGGTTTCTGAGTCCTCTTTTTTTTTTTTTTTTTTTTGACTATGGTGTAGTGGCAGATCCCAAATTAGGTTACCATATTCTAGCAGGATCTCCAATATGAAAGAATTGTGGGACCATCTTTACATTATTAGTAAATTATTGGGGAATTTGGCTGATAAGTGGTGATGATGGAAATTATGATTATACTAGCTAATACATATTGAGTACTCACTATATATCACACTTTAAGCCCTTGACAGGCATTATTATCTTGTTCAGTTTTCTTCAACAGTCCCCTGCTGTAGATAATGCTATTATTACCTTGTTATAGACAAGGAAACTAAGGCTCAAAGAGATTAAGTAAAGTGCTTGCCCTGGATGTCAAAGTGAGATATTTGACTCAAAGCCTTCAAAATGTATACCTTTTTATATTTTAATGTTGACAGAAATAATACATGCTTTTGAACTTTGCTTTCTCAGACAAGATCCAATCTGGTCACTATTGGGAGAACGTACCCCCAATATTTCAACGTAGGTTCTTTCTATTTTCCATAAGTGTCGGCCAGCTGAGAAATAAAGAGAGACAGTATAAAGAGAGGAATTTTACAGCTGGACCACTAGATGTGACATCACATATCGGTAGGACCGTGATGCCTGCCCAAGTCTCAGACCAGCAAGTTTTTATTAAGGGTTTCAAAAGGGGAGGCAGTGTAAGAACAGAGAGTAGGTACAAAGATCACATACTTCAAAGAGTAAAAAGCAGAACTACTGATAAGGATCTAACAAAGATCACATGCTTCTGAAGGAACAGGGCAAAGGGCAAAAGCAGGACCACTGATAAGGGTCCAACAAAGATCACAGGGCAAAGGGCAAAAGCAGAACCACTGATAAGGGTCTATGTTCAGCGGTGCATGTATTGTCTTGATAAACATCTTAAACTTCAGAAAATAGGATTGAGAGCAGAGAATCAGTCTGACCACAAATTTACCATGGCTGAGTTTTCCAAACCCTGAGTTTTCTGCAGGAACTCAGTAAGCCTGAGGGTTCTGCAGGAGACCAGGGCATATCTCAGTCCTTATCTCAACTGCATTAGACAAACATTCCCAGAGTGGCCATTTATATACCTCCCCACAGGAACACAATCTTTTCTTAGGGTATTAATATTCATATTTCTTGCTAGGAAAAGAATTTAGTGATATGTTTCCTACTTGCATGTCCATTTATAGGCTCTCTGCAAGAAGAGAAATATGACTCTTTTTGCCCAACCCCAGAGGCAGTCAGACCGTATGGTTATCTTCCCTTGTTCCCTAAAAATCACTGTTATTCTGTTCTTTTTCAAGGTGCACTGATTTCATATTGTTCAAACACACATGTTTTACAATCAATTTTTACAGTTAATACAATTATCACTGTGGTCCTGTGGTGACGTACATCTTCAGCTTACGAATATAACAGGATTAAGAGATTAAAGACGGGCATAAGAAATTATAAAAGTATTATTTGAGAACTGATAAATGTCCATATTATGATGAAATCTTCACAATTTATGTTCCTCTGCCACGGCTCCAGCCGGTTCCTCCATTCGGGGTCCCTGACTTCCCGTAACAGGTCACACATTAGATTGTTGATTTTTTTAGATGGTCAACTACTTGACTTGGTCAACTCACTAGATATCAGATTTTTTAATAAGTCAGAAAACATCAGTATAACTCTGAAGTTTCAAATCAGCCTACTTTGTTAACTATATAGCAGTGATATTCTATATAACAAGGTATTCATAGTATTACAGAGTATTCAGAGAGAGATAAGATAATAGCCCATATAGGTAGGTTTTACAGGTAATGATAGAGATAAGACAAATATACCCATAAATGCAGTGCAGATTAAGTTAGGATAAATATCTGAAGAGAAGAATATGATTCTACGGAAGATTTGTTTCTCAAATTACATCTAACTAGGACTATCAGGAAAGGTATTGTAAACTTGATAGCAGTAGAAAGGGACATTGATGAATATGTAACTAAGATGGACATAATTGATGTCACACTCTCTAGGGGGAAGAGGAGTTTTAGTGGCCTGAAGGTCACAAACATTAGTAAATGAAGAAAGCTTAGTATATGTTCAGCAAAACATTTGGTTTTGTTGAAATATAAAATTTATGTACAAGAATAGCAGCCAGTGGCTAGAAAATTCAGTTTAATCAATGGCATGAAAGGCCTCAAGAGTGTGGAGTCCTTAGTTTTATGGGTATTTTGGTTGTGGTGATCGATCATATTGATAGACGGGTATGCAGTGGCTGGAGCTCTGCTTTAAAGAATCAATCTGGAAGAAACGTTGGTAAGCAGACCCCAGAACAAGGGAGCTAGGAGACATGGATAATTCAGGTGAGAGAAGGTAAGAACTGGTTTGAGAGCGGGGACGGCACAGAAATAACAACCAGCATGTAAGTAATTGCATTAACAAGGAGAAAAATCTGAGATCATAGTTTGACAATCTAAATTTGAAGTGCTTATGGTATATAATGAAGAGATATAGATTTGGAACTTAATAGAATTAGGTGGTAGAAGAGTAGATTTGAGAATCATTAGGAAAGAATGAAACCATGTGAGTGGAAGAGTTGTTAGAGGGGAAGGGTCAATATGAAAAGGAAGTAGACCTAGAGATATACCTCTTCAGAAGACAGAGACAGGCGTATCAGCCTTCAGCAAAGAAGTAACCAGGGGAGCCAGGCACGGTGACTCCTGTAATCCCAGCACTTTGGGAAGCTGAAGTGGGTGGACCACAAGGTCAGGGGTTTGAGACCAGCCTGGCCAATATAGTGAAACCCTGTCGCTAATAAAAATACAAAAATTAGCTGGAGGTGGTGGTGGGCACCTGTAGTCCCAGCTACTCAGGAGGCTAAGGCAGGAAAATCGCTTGAACTGTGGAGGTTGCAGAGAGCCAAGATTGTGCCACTGCACTGCAGCTGGACAACAGAGCAGAGCAAGACTCTGTCTCAAAAAAAAAAAAAAAAAAAAAAGAGAGAAAGAAAGAAAAGAAAACAATAGAAGTAACCAGGGGATGCTGTGTTTCAAAGCAAAAGGAAAACGTTATCTCAAAAAGATCTGTAGGTAAAACTCTATCAATAAAGAAAAGGGCCAAGAACTAAACATCTCATTTACATGTAAAGAAAGGGTGCTAATCCTTACACAGTTCTGAAGTACTGTAGGATTGCAGTGTAATTTCAAAACTCCAAAAAGTAGAGAAACACCTAAAATTCTATGATAATTCCCTATTCATTCCAAATTGGAATTAGTAGGAAGTAGAAAAAAAAAAGTGCCCTTTTAGAGATGTTGTTCTTCAGACCAAAGCATGCTTAGAATCCTAGAATCTAAATGTAAGAACTGGGAGAGAGCTTAATGATAATCTAACAGCCCTATTTTGCACATTAAAAATGTTAAGATTCAAGAGATACAGTGAGTTCATGGCATAGCTGTTTCAAGAACCCAGATCTCCTGATTTCTCCTTTAGATGAATTTCTTCAACATCATAAACCACCTTTGCCTATAGATTTGTATACTTTTCTCTAAGATCAAAATATTGACAGGTTTTCTTGCTGGCATAAGGATGGATTGAAGTACATGGCTCATCATTTTCCATTATGAATCTATTTAGGGTTTCCATCACCCATGTGTATCATCCTATACAAATATCATTAGAATTTCTTTATTCCTGACCATTTCTTTCATCTTCATAAAAGCCAACCCCTTAACTTGGGTCATGTTTCTGGCACTGTTAGACAAAAGTTTATAGCAAGCAATGATAGACATTTCCAGATTGTTGGTACAGTTTTCATTTTGAAGGCAGGATTTGGCATTTTGATGGGGAGAATAGAGAACAATTTGAATCTTGGTTTCGGGAATGTCTCTGATCTTGTACTCCCAAGACTGGGACCCAGGAGAGACCTAGATGGATAGGCCTGGTGCTGGGAGAGGTTGAGTCAGAGACAAAAGCAGTCTCACTTACATTAACATTAAAAATTCAAAGGAAGACACTGGAGTTTGGGAGAGGGCAACCAAGGGAATGACATCTACCATATAAGCAAAGGCCTACAAAACAATGGCAGAATATGACAGGTTTATGTGTCTTTTGCTCAATTAGTACAATTAAAAAGGACTCAAATACCAGTGGCTCACTGGGGCTGTATGTTTTATCATCAGATGTCTCTGTCCTAGATTTTGCCCAGCAATGAACTCAAAATAGCTGAATCCCATTGGGCAAACTCTTCCAAATGAAAGGGAGAAAGAACATTGTAAAATGATCAGCCATTTCTTTTACCACTGCTAGAAAAATCTTATATCCCTTCTCATATAAAGACCTCTTTAAGTATTGCAAACCAATTCAACAGTGCACCCTCTTCTAATTTCACTACATTCTGTTTTGTTATTGCTTTCCCTTTTTAATTCCTCTTGCATTGCTAGGCAACTCCATGTCATGTGGATAGCGTTTTTGATTACATTCTCTACCTCCGCGTAGAAATTTCCTCCTATTTCATTAAAAAAAAAAAAAAAAAAAACCAATAGACATATT